TTTTATTGAAAAGTACTGACAAGTGTAATTTGTATTTTAATATCCTTGAAGCAAAAATTCATATATATTTACCAAATCAAGCATCAAGTAAACTTGTTGATTTCTTTTCTCTTAGCAGTGTCATATTGTTTACTGGAAATTTTGGTTTTCAAAATTATATTTCTTAATACCGCACATTTGGTAAAAAATTCAAACCTGGAAGGTAAATTAGACAGAATCTTTAGATTTCAGAGTTATGCTCTAAGAAATTATGTTTAAAAAAAACTCAATTTTACCACATTTACCAAATTTTATCACATATTATAAGATAATATTTAGCGTCTGTTCAACCAAAATCATAATCAAAGCATTTCGTCAAGAATTACCGAGCTTTTCATTGTTTCCATAGAACAAGAAGGACAATAAATTTTTCCATATTTTGGTAGTTTATTACCATTTTCTCAGTCTAGACATAAAAGTTGAACAATCATTTATGCGCAATTAGTGTTTTAAAAATCACATTGAAAAAAAATACCCAGTTACATCTCTGCTAAATTTTGTAATAAAACTCTTAATCTTGTTGAATTTTAAGCAAACATCTAATGTTTAATTTCGTATTTTTAAAATTTACTTACATGGATATTGATAATTAGCGATAAAAGTTCTCATTTGTTGTAATAAGTGAACAAGCGCCATTTTCCGAGATTTAACTGCACAGGAATTAAATCCAAACCGAGGGCTGCGTGAAATTGTCTCTCATTATCTCTATAAACTCGTGATAATTATGTCTTGTATACCTTTAAAGTTAGCACAAGACACATCTCTTATATCAAACTTGACTTGTGTATAATTTCTGATTAAGAAGCTTTCTGTGTAATTGTAAGAATAAACTTTAAATTTTGTGCAAATTCTGCATTAACTTGTACACAGAATACTAAATTTCATCAAGCAAAATATGAAAATTGTTATAACTAAGCCCCCAACAGCGAAATAAATCATTTCTATAATGTGTGCTTCAATTCTTCTTATCGTTAAGGTTGAATATATTTAAAACATTAAAGTAAAAGTTTACATTTACACGTTTATTCAATACATTTTTTTTCAATTTACATGTTTATTCTAAGCATATTCTGACTAACATTTGAATATGATTATTTTTTATTCAATATCAGAAAATAAGTTAATTATGTTTAAAAAATGGAATATTATAATTTTTTCAAGAACAAATTTTAATATTAGATCCCTACAGCTATATCAAGCAAATATTTGCTCTCTAAATAAGTACACGGAGAAAAAAATCAGGTAAAATTACCATACTGAATAATAATGAAATGTTTGGTAAAAAAAATACCATAATTCTGGTATATCAAACCCAAATTTGCAGTATTTAAACCATTTATGTTCTGTTTATGGAAACAGTTTACCGGAAATTCTGGTTTTCAAAATTACATTCTTATTACTACTCATTTAGTAAAAAATACAAAACTGAAATGTAAATTTAACCGAATAAATTGTTTTCGCACTATGCTCTAAGGTGTCAGAATAAAAGTACCAAATTTTACCACTAATTATGAAACTCTATTTTATTGTTAATTTAGTAAAAAGTCTTCGACAAAGTTCTTCGGTAAAAACTACCGAGCTTTTCAGTATTCCCATGGAGCCAGACGCACGGTAAATTTTACCATATTCTGGTAGTTTTGACCATACTCTCATATTCTCTATTTCGATTGCATACGTTGATTCAACAAATTTCCATATGGAATTAATTTTAAAAGTAAGTTTATATTATTATGAAAGTAAATATAAGCTGCATACTATTTATTTGTCATGAAATTGTTAGGGAATATCTTTATCTCAAAATGTTGCCTTATAGGTAAATATCATAGAACTACTTGAAATAATAAAACAGCATCACCTTTTATTTTGAATAATAATCAAAATCAAAAGCATATAATAATAAAAAATAAGAAGGATGGTACATAGATAATAAATCAATATCTTTAAAAAAATAATTTTGAAGTAAATACAGCTATAAGGTTCTTTAATTTCAAGTAAATAACAACCGAAGATTTACGAATCTTCATATGTTTAATAGTACAATCAAGTGGTTATTTAGCCAATAAGAACGCACTGATTACCTAGGAGAAGGGATTTTTGATCATAATATTTTCATCTTATGAAAGATATAATATACCAACTCTATGGAACAAATAAGAAACAATTAAAGCATCTAAATTTGATATTATTCTGAGTCTTTGTTATTGGTTAAAAAAAATCTGAAATTAATTAATTTTCACGAATATATGTAAAAAACAAAAGTCTTCAAATAAGAAAAATATTAGTTTTACAAAAAAAAATTTCTGTTGAAACTACATAATCTACTGTTTGANTATATATATAAACCATGGAGTCATTCACAGATTAAACATAAACGCCATTTTAAAAGCAGCTCATCACTAAATTATTTCTAAGCTGTCACACGACTACAAATCAGATATGATAGGTATGATCAGATATGATAAAAATGCTTTCATTAGATTTTAAGAATAAGTAACAAAACATGAATTAACAAAATATGAATACCACCAGTTTAGCAAGGACATCATGAATAGGTAGTGGAAGTAAAAACATTATCACTTGATTTGTCAAGTAACTAATGTGCTATAAAGAAAAGAAACTTACCTTAGTAAGTTTTAGTTTAGTAGGATCAACAAGACTATAGCTGCCTTTACTACTTTCTGTAGAAGACGTCCACCCCCATGTTGTTCCCATGTTTCGAGCTAAACAAAAAAGATGGAAAATAAGGCACAAGAAAATTGCTTTTCAGTCACAATGCCTATAATTTAGCTAAAATAAATTGCCTAAAAAACACACACACAAAATTAAAAATATAATAATAACAAAAAAAAGCGGAACGAGATTGTGTTTGGCCCCACATCTGACGTATTAAGGAATGGTCACATATACACACCAGTGTTTTTTCTTCTGTCTCGGTGATCAGGTACCCTGTTTTGGAAGGACATGTTCCATAGAACCCAATCATTCTAAAAGACAAAAACAAATTTAAATGCTAAATTTTAAACCTCAAACAAAACTTGAAGTATAGTTATTTGATAGGGTCTAGTATATGATGACTTACCCTTTTTAAATCTATGACATCTTGCAACATTAACCTGACCTTAGAGCTAGTTAAACGTTTGTCTACTATCTTTCGCATTTGTAAGAAGTAATCTGAAAAAGAGAGATTGCCAAAATATGGGTTTAAAATAAGCGAAAATATGCTAAAATATGTTTAATTACAATATATATTACATCAATAACAGATTATGAAAATCAAACACACCAGTTTATATAATTCCTTTTGGTAAAAATTGAAGCAAACAATTTCAACTCATTGTTGGTAATTTAAATTGATAGGATAAATTTTTGAATTCTAATGAGTAAAATTTTTTGCATCATATTAAATATAGTAATATATGGTAGCAAAATCCAAAATATAAATAATTACTATTTTAAGATCATCAGAAAGATATTTATTAATTGTAAAGTTATTCAAACCCATATTAAGTTGAATTAGGTAAGAAAAAATTCAAACTGAAATATTTTAAAATTAAGCTGTAATTTTCACCTTTTAACAACCACAGATTTCCTTAAGTACTTAAAAAAAATCTGAATTAGAAATAATTTTTTCTTTTGTCGAAAGTTCTTAGGTATGCAAAAAATAAACAAAATGAAAAAATAATATCCAAGAGTTAACATTATCTACGTATATTAACTAGTTCTTGGCAAAGGACTAAGGGGGAAAAATTCATAATGTTTAGTTGGCTCGCATGATAAACAAAAATTTCAACGGTTTCTGATTCCATTCGAGAGCGTGGAAGAAGCCTGCAATCAAAAGTCTCTTACAAAAAGCAGTAGGTTTTATGTGATTGCAAAAAGTACTTCCTAATCCAGCATCGAGTATGCGGCGTGGACCTGCGAGTAATTCAGTCAACATGCAAAATGAGTAGAGCTTTCTTGCAATACAGATAACAATATGTTCAAATGGATTGAGGTCAAATGATTTGAAAAAATTCTGCATAGAACATAGAAAAAAAACCACACTTTTTGCGAGATTTATAACAGAAATCGGCTCTGCACCTTGCAAACACCTTATGAAAAAATGCACCTTATGAAGTCCTTTAAAAAAACAAATAATAAGTACCTCTTAAAAATGCAACACTCAGCTATCTCTAGTAATATCACCTTTCATTTATCTCAGTTTTTAAATACGATACTTTGATTCAAGGCAACAATATTATGAAGCAAAATTTTTCATTATCAATAAAAAGTAACTAAAAATTACCATAAAACTTATAAAACATACAATATGAAATTCGGTACTATTAGAAAGGTATGTCACAATAACATTGATTACAATAGAAAAGAATGGCGATTATTCTTTAAAATTTAATCTAAGCAAACTTGAATGTGCATATTGTGTTGCAATTCATAGAGGTATTATTATAATAATCTTTTATACTTGCAACGATACAGAAATTATATTTATAAAATCCTCAAAAATAATGAATAATAAAAAAAAAACACTGCACATATTGCAAATTAATGCTTAAGTAAATGATAACGAAAATGTTAAAATCTAATAAATCCCTACTAATTATTGGAAACCCTCCAAATAGGATTAGGCAATCTCAAGTGGTTTTGATACATCTCATTCTGACTTACTAGTTACTTGCTAATATCTAAGTTTTTTCATTTTTTCCACATTTAAATCAGATAGCACTAATACATACACTTTTTCGACAAAGAATACAGAATCGACAAGGACTAATCTGTATAAAGTTCTATTGTTCTATGAATCAGAAAGTAATGTGTTTAATAAGCTTTTTCAACAAAAAAATTATTAATTTGTAGATAAGTTGTCTTTTTAAACTTATATTATTTACAAGAATACTTTTTCTCACATTTTATTACAAGTAAAAGCACAGATCAAAATGAAGACAAAGAAAAGTTACACTTTCTTTTGAACCTTTAACTTTTCGATCATCTAATTCTTTATCTATCGTTTTCAGCAATTGACACAAACACTGAAGTGATGCTTCATCTCCTTGAGAGATGAGCCTCCTTATGCATTCATGCATGATAGGTTCGATTAATATTCCAAGGTTCACCAATAAATCTAAAAAAAAAGACAATTGTAATGTACTTTAAATTTTTTTTTATATACATAAAATTTATATAGAATTGAAAAAATTAGCAGCCAATATTTAAAACCAGAACTTTTGATCTAGCTCGTCTTTTATTGAAAATCGATATACTGATTGACAAACTAAACTTCAAAACTGATGAGAATGCCAGTTATGATAAACTATCAATATAAAAAAAACAGACTGATAAATTTTTTGTTTGTCCTTATATATCTTTAAATTAAAATAAATTATCATTATATTTTCTAGTAAAATTAATAATTCTTTATAGCTCATAGCCACCAATGCATATAAATAGCAATCAGTGAGGTGATTCACTAAACAATGGCGGGTGAGGGCTTTTTAATATACATAAAATCTGAATACTTATAAAAAACTTAAATTACTTTTAGTGGTTAATTCTTGTGTGAAATGTGCGTTTGCTTAATATTGTTTAGATATTCCAATATACATAGTCAATCAGATAGGTTTCAGATAAAAAAAATCATAAGATAAAAAATAACTATAAGTTTTTTTTAATATTTTACACCTGAACGTTTTTTTATATCCATTTTTATGCGAAGTATTCCTCTTTTAAAAGTTTTTAGGACAAATTGATTTAGGAAATAAAATTCTGTAAAAGTAAAAGGAGAAAATAGAGTTTCTTTTTAGTCACAAAACTATAAATAATAAATAATTATAATGTTTTCACTAAACTGTAATAAAAATTTGAAATTTATCAATTTTTCAGGTGTCCAAAAAGCATAAAAAATATGATTTTCTTTAAAAAACAAGAAAAGTTTACAATTACCGAAGTATCGATTGTTCGAGTTTCAAATAAATCTGAGCTAAATAAGTCTTGCTCCCAAACAATGACTCACGCACACACAACACTTAACCACGACTGAATCTTGAAAAACAAATTTGTGTATTAAACACTGAAACATATGAGCGATGTTTTTAAACAAAACATTAGACAATTATTTTAAAATACAATGAACCTGATTCAGTAATATAATGAATATTGTAACTTGGTGTAATGCAGTAAAAACAGGGTTTGAAAAAACCCAACCCGCCTGGGTGGGTGTAATGCAGTAAAAGTATTGGTGTAATGCAGTAAAAGTACTCTGATCATCTAATGTAAGTAAATTTTCTTTAAATATATCTTTCAGTTGAATACTAAAATTTAAAAATTGATTTATTTCCATTTATTTAAATTTTTAAGTTTCAAATTTTCGATAATTCGAGTTCTCGAAAGTTCAAGGTAGGCTCGGTGCCGTCCACCCCGAATTATCGAGACTTTGCAGCATAGTACCGGCCTCTGATCTACATTTTACTTAATATCAGATATTGTCAAATTTTTGAATATTAATTGCTATTTAAAATATATAGCTGAAAACTAGATAAGATTTTAAAGTATTTTAATATTTTACTATGTGATCATCAAATTTGCAATGAGAAAAAAAAACTACATAATTGAAATCGCTTGTTACTCTCTTAACACTATGAAACAATTTATATTTAACATTTAGGTCATGGTAATTCAAATATTAAGAAGGAAAGAAAAATAGAATCTTTTAAACAAAATAACACAAATATTTGTTCTTATTTTTAGCAATTAGATATAAAATGAAGTTATATATAGTTTTAGTTATTAGAGATTTATATGTTATTTCTTAAGGCTATTTTGATATACACTAAATATATAATAAGTTATAACTTTTTCAGTGTATGAAATAATCACCTTGTAATGCCAAGCTGCCTATATTTCATCTTATCTTCATCATACATTTCCTGCTCTAATTCTTTCTTTTCTTCCTACAACAGAACAAATTTTAAATGAGTATAGATATTAATTGTGAACTACTTAAAAATATTCACCACTGCTTGGGTAAAACAGTTTTTCCAGCTTATTACAATAATTTAACTCACTGGAGCAGCTTCTTCCAGAGCCTTAACCCTTTCCTCGTGTTTCAATTAATCACTCCTACCCTCTTCGAATTCTTTTTGGCACTTTGTTAAGAAAACTTTACGGAAATTTACATAGTCCTTATTCTTAGTGGGCACTTTAATCTATTTAAAAAACAGATAAATTAATATACACCTCAACATATTTTACAATCGTTTTATTCAAAGTTAGTTGGCTTACCAATACCAAATGCTTGCATATGTTTGCATAGGGGACACTGGAGTTTGGCTCGGCCACAGCTTCCTCAAATATTAAATCAATGACTGTGCACAGTTTTTCCTCAGTGTCTATGTTAAGATTTTTGATTTGAGTCAATAGAGTTTCAAACTTCCGTGGTGTAACTTTATTAAGGATTCCTTGGACACTTCTTCTAAGCTCCCCTTTTACTATTAATAATTTTAAAAAATTAACATCATTATTTGTATTACAAACTTGTACAGATTAACTTAGGTAAATCTTACATCGACCCTACCTATAGAGTGAAAATAAAAAAAATTTAAAATTCAGAAAAATGTAATTTCTACTTTATACAAAAGATAACAAATGAATAATGAAAACATTTACATTTTTTACTTAAAAAACAATTTCAAAGGCAAGTAAAACCTGCACCAGACAGATAAGCACAAAAAGCTATTATATATTCTTATAGAATGAAGATTTAATGAACTTATAAGTATGACTAACTTGGGTATTAATTTTTAAGAATGTGATAAAACACAGAGAAGTTATAATCAACATGAATCATAAGGAAGGAGAGACATTTTTAACAGAATGTGTTTAATTGAATATTAGAACATACAAACAGAACAGCAACACATTTTTTCATTAGTGAGGCGAGTTTTTGATTCATCAAATGCAATGGTTCTAATTTAATCTCAGTCTAACAAAATTATTAATCTTAATCAAAACTTTGATAGAATAAACTGAAACGAACAAAAATATTTTTAAATTGTTCTAAAAACAAGTTAAAAAATGAAACAGAAAAAATTCACAGTATTCATTTAGTAGAAAAGTAAGAGCATAATTACGAGTAGACTCAGGTAACTAAATATCAAACAATAGACAATTTTCATGCTTAGATCCTATCTTGTAATCAAATCCCTTAATTTTTCCGAAAGCATTTCTGGAGTCATTAAAACATTAATCTATACAAGAAGGACTGACAATATTGTAAAATACATTAGGAATTACAGCTGTTTTAAGATAATGTGATTTACTTGTAATTCGCTAATCATAAAAATACTACCTTAATAAGTATGATCTCACCTTTATACTAATTCCTGATATTTAATGTGTGATATCAGGAATGCACTTAAATGTTATTTCAGCTGAATAAATTACATTGCTTAGTTATAATTATTGAGCTAAATGGATTACATTCATTCTGAATATTTGATTTAACTTAAGCGTAAAAAATAAAATATGAAAGAAAACAAACGGAGATAGCCAGGTTGGAAGGATGTTTGGCTCGTGTCCGTAAGATCGAATTCCGCGGACTGAGGAATCTCGTGTTTTAAATGGTGGCTGGTGCACCTTAAATCTTTCAGGGTCACAAAGTCCTCCAAGGTCCCATAACAAATCAGTATCTCTGTGAATGAATGAATGGAGTATGAATGGGTCCTCCCAGGGAAAAACGGCTATGGCAGGTATGTGGTTAAAATCTTATTCTTGGCCAGAGAGGGCACGGTGAAAAACAAGACATGGACCCTCAGCTCGTAATTCGTTTGGTTTTCCATTGTTGGTATTGGCAAGTGGCATAAATAACAACAACAGAAAACTTACGTCAGACCGAGGTATAGTAAACCACCTGAAAAATCAGCAAAGTCTACAATAAACAATGTTTCACAATATTAAAAATATTTTTTTAGTATAATGCAGAGGTATTGTTGGAAATAGTGTGATTGCAATAGTATATAGTTTACTTCAAAAATTATTAACTAACTAAATAAGTGGAGTCAATCTACAAAAAATAGTTTTCTTACACAAAATTTCGTCATAAAATGAAATTTTATTCAGACTGTTAATATTAAGCAATTTATTCAAAATATTTTTAACATGAGGAAATGGTTGCCTCTGAGGATGTAACGAACATTTAGTCACTATACAGTCTCTGTGGCAGAATTTTTTTGAGCTATCTGCGATAAAACTCTCTAGCACTAATATCTTTCTGCAAGATACTTTCAATAATAACAAACACATATGTTACTAATTTAAAATAATAAAAGCGCTGTGTTTACTAGTAAAAAAAACTATAAGTTTTTTTTAAATCGAACATGTAACAATTTTTTTTTCTAATATTTTTCTAATAATATTATTATTACATATAATCTTTATTTTATATACTAATTTTTATATAATATTTAATATTTTTTTACATAANACACAAACAAACACTCTTGATCTAATAATATTACGATATTCTCGCATTTTGTTGGGGGGGGGGACGCACAAATTATTTCACAGTAAAAACAGCAATCATCACAGTAAAAAAAAAAATAATTAAAAATAGTGAAATTCATAGTGGCAATTGCCGAAAAAAAAAGATTGACGGCGAAATCACGCTAACCGAACTCCGCAAATGCGCGTTTCGTTTCTAGATTAGGTTGTTGTAATAAATAATATTGTATAAGAAATAGCCGATTTAAAAACTAAGGTTAAAATCAATAGCAATAAATGCACAAAATTTGATAGAATCGTTGCCTTAAAAAGTATATACTCAATCTCAATTTCGAATTTTCCATATTGTTTGAAATATATCGGGATATTTAAAACCCATGTGAAAATCAATATCAATAACTGCCAAAAAATACAATCTGAACATATAGGCAGGATTCAAATATTACGTGTAAACTTCTGAAGAAAAGTAATTACTTTCACTTTTCAAAAGAAAAATCATTCTGCAAGAACTCTGTAACGTTCAGCGACAATGTCACTGCGATTCTGCCTCAGTATATACAGCATTCGATTTTTTTGCCCAATATTCGGTTGGCCTAATGTTCAGCAGAGTATTATTCGGAAAAGTAATTTTAGACTTTTTTTTGAGGGGGGGGATGTGAATAGATTAGATAAAGAATAATCCAAAATCATATATTTTACTCCACATTATTAGAAATTGTATCTTTACATATTTTAAATTTTATATCTTGTTTTATGCTATTTTAAAGAAGAAGAGTTGATGTTCTTGTTCGATCGATTAACTCTGCTACTGTCTTTTTTGACAACTACTCTCATTATTCATTTTAACGAAATTACTTACCCTAAACACTCCTTTACAAAGGTTCATTTTTAATTAAAATTCATAATTATACACTTTTGAACTTAGGACGTTGACTAAAATTTCGCAACATTTATTTGAATACTTAAAAAAAATGAAATTAAAGTTCAATAAACTTTTTACTTTTTCTGGGAAGGACATGCTCTGTGGATTCTGTTGTTGCCCAAGTGCTTCACTTTCAGCTTCCTTGTGAATTTGATCAATGGTTTTAGGATTATTTACATTTCTTCTAGGAATCCAATCATTCTAAAAGACAAAAACAAATTTAAATACTCAATTTTAAACTAAAACAAAACTTATAGTAGTAATTTAATAAAGACTTTAATGACTCACCCTTTTTAAATCTATAACATCTTGCAACATGAAGCGGACCCTAGAGCTAGTTAAACGTTTGTCTACTATCTTTTGCATTTGTGTAAAATAACTTTCCATCTGAAAAAAAGAGATTGCCAAAATATGGGTTTAAAATAAGAGAAAATGAAGTATTTTGAGAAAATATGGTTAGCTAAAATATGGTTAATTACAATCAATAAAAGATTATGAAAATCAAACACACCAATTTATATAATTAATTTCGGTAAAAATTTATCCAAACAATTTCAACTCATTGTTGGTAATTTAACTTAATAGGATAAAGTTTTGAATTGTAATGTGTAATATTTTTTGCATCATATTAAATATAGTAATATGTGGTAGCAAAATCCAAAATATAAATAATTACTATTTTAAGAAGATCATCAGAAAGGTTAATAATAATGGTTATGTTATTCAAATACATATATATATGCCTTTCAACTGTCTGGATTTTCAAATAAGATAATTTAATGCAAGGTCACAATATAGTGAAGTAAAATTTACATTATCCATAAAAAGAAACTGAAAGTAACCATAAAAACTTAAAAAACATAGAATAGAAATTCAGTACAATTAGCAAGGTGAGTCACTATTACATTGATTACAGAAGAAAAGTATGGCAGTAAATTCTTTAAAATTTATTAAAAGCCTAGTTGAATGTACATTGTGTTACAATTTATAGTGGTAATATTATAATAATTTTTCATACTTGCAACTACACCGGATTTATATTTATAAAATCATCACAAATAATAAAATAAAAAAAAATTGAAGACGCATTGCAAATTAATACTTACGCAAATCATAACAAAAATGCCGTTAAAATCTAAAAATCACTACTAATTATTAGAAACTCTCCAAATTGGGTATAATATGAAAAAAACACAACTACTTCCACTTCAAAATTTTTACTAGGAATAACATTTACCTTTTAGTTTAATTAATAAGCTGAGTTTTAAATATGTTTACTAAATTCATAAACTTAGATAAAACAACAAAATAAATTATTTCAAAAGGAACTAGACTAATACAGTTCCAATCTGCCGAGTAGCGACTTATAACAATACACTTCATTTAATGTGTACTTGTTGCTAGAAATCAGGTTCGCAGAAAATGCTGTTTACTAGTTAAATTTACTAGGAATAACACGACCAGTGACGTAGGCTATAGTATACCCAATTGAATCAGAAAATCTTATAAAGATTTTAATTTGTATAAAGATTTATTGTTCTATGATGTAAGTATGCGTTTAATAAGCTTTTACAAAAACAAAAAGTAATTGAATTGAAGATAAGCTGTCTTCTTAAACTTATATTATTTACAAGAAAACTTTTCCTCACATTTTATTACAAGTAAAAGCACTGCGTGGATGATAGCTATAGACAATGTAAGCCTTCATCTATGAAAAGGTACCCCTCTATAGAATTGAGTTAACATGTTTTATATACTACTGAATTGGAATTATATATTTGTAGTGGTAGATACACTACAAGCACAGATCAAAATGAAAACAAAGAACACTCGCACTTTCTTTTGAACCTTCAACATTTGGATCATCTAATTCTTTACCCTTAGTTTTCAGCAATTTACACAAGCACTCAAGTGATTCCTCATCTCATTGAGAAATGAGCCTCTTTATACATTCCAGCATGATTGTTCAGTTAACATTCCATTAACTTTATTTCTCCAATATATCTTAAAAAAAAGACATTATACTTTAAATTTGTTTTTATATGCATAAAATTT